TGTGTGTGTGTGTGTGTGTTGCACTTACTAAAGTGTTTAATGTCTGCCTCTTTTTCCAGATCATATCTTCTGTGAAGAAAGGCAGAATGTCTGTTTTTTTTTTCAGATCCACATGCTTAGTGTAGAGTCCAGTACCCTGCGCATAGTAAGTGTTCCATCAACACGTGTGCTCTGCCTGGTTCACCCATATTTCATCAGGAGAATTGTAGGAGAGGGGCTGGGTGATGGCTCGGTGCGCGAAAGTGTCTTCTGCACAAGCATGAGGATCTGAGTTTGAATCCCCAATACCCACATAAAAAGCTTGGCGCAGCCACTTGCCAGCAACCCCCACACTGTGGGGTTTCAGACGGGAATCTCTGGGGCTTGCTGGCAGCCAGCCTGGATCCAGACCCAATGAGAGACCCTGCCTCAAAGGAATAAGGCAGAAAATGACAAAGAATGACACCTGGCATGCTCCACTGGCCTCTGCACATGTGCATATACACCACACACACCTATACCACACACACACACACATGCGCAGCAAAAAAAGAAAACTTTAAATAGGAACATTTTAAGGCTCATAAATGCACATTAGCCCTCAGTCTCCCTATGCTGCATTGAAAACATATTTGAGGACCATGTGTACTAAGGCTCTGAAAGTAGGAAATGACATAACTGCAGAATTCTTGCTACCTTGTCACCTGAAAATATTTAGCATATCATTAAATAATATCAATATTACATGGTTAGGTATTTCGTTAGGTGTAAAACATTTTATTTAGTTGGAATCTCTCAAATTCATGCACTGATTCCTCCCCCAAGCTCCTTCTTAGCTGTGTCTATTCTTTCCTAGGCTGTTGTATTTCTTACCCATTTCTTAGCACTGCACAATACTTTACCTATTTTATATATGTGCTCCGAGTGCTGTGCATCAGAGGTGTGCAGTGTCCAGAAGAGGACATCAGATCCCCTGGAACTAGAGTTAGAGATAGCCGTGAGCTGTCTGGTGTGGGTGCTAGGAACTGAACCTGTGTCTTCTGCAGGAACAGAAAGCGGTTTTACCTGTTGAGCTGTGTGTCTCCACTCCCTGAACAACACTTTGGTAAAGTAAGTGGTTAATAAAAAAGTGTAGTACGGACCTAAACAGAGAACTCTCAACAGCGGAATCTAAAATGGCTGAAAGACACTTAAGGAAATGTTCAACATCCTTAGTCATCAGAGAAATGCAAATCAAAGCAACTCTAAGAATGGCCAAGATCAAAAACACTGATGACAGCTTAAGCTGGAGAGGTTGTGGGGTAAAGATAACACTCCTGCATTGCTGGTGGGAGTGCAAGCTGGTACGACCCCTTTGGATGTCAATGTGGTGATTTCTCAGAAAATTAGGAAACAACCTTCCTCAAGACCCAGCAATACCACTTTTGTGTATGTATCCAAAGGATGCTCAGTTGTGCCACAAGGACACGTGCTCAACTATGTCCATAGCAGCTTTGTTTGTCATAGCCAGAACCTGGAAACAACCTAAATGCCCCTCAACCGAAGAATGGATAAGAAAAATGTGGTACATTTACACAATGGAGTACTACACAGCAGAAAAAAATATCAACATTTTGAATTTTACAGGCAAATGGGTAGAGCTAGAAAACATTATCCTGAGTGAAGTAACACAGACACAGAATGACAATTATCACATGGACTCACTCATAAGTGGTTTTTAAACATAAAGCAAAGAAAAACAGCCTACAAATCACAATCCCAGAGAACTTAGATAACAATGAGGACACTAAGAGAGACTTACATAGATCTCATATACATGGGAAGTAGAAAGTAGAAAAACACAAGATCCCCTGAGTAAATTGGGAGCATGGGGACCTTTGGAGAGGGTTGAAGAGGGGAGGGGAGAGGCAGGGAGGGGAGCAGAAAAAATGTAGAGCTCAATAAAAATCAACTTTAAAAAAGAAAGAGACTTCTGAAGGTCATCTCTGAGGAACTGACTGAGAGTGTTTCAGAGAGTGGTTTTCAGATGAGCTTTATGGGAAAGCCATACCTGGAAGATTTTCAGTGCTTTTATGAGTCCTCCAACTTCATTCTTTAAGGACAAAATGAGAGTCACTCTGCTCCTTTCTGAGGAACGGTCTTTGTTCTCTTTGTCTTCAATCATGGTGCGTCTGGAGAGTGAAAGCTCAGATGAGGGTGGAGCACAGAGTTGAGCAGCCGGGGCAGCAGCAGTGACCTCATCCACCTCCCTGCTCCCATCTTTTCACCTGCAAAACCCATGGGACTGACAGGCTTTTTGAGGGAGCAGTGGGGCCAGAAAATGAGACATCCCCTAGCAGAGTGCCCAGAAAGGCAAGGGCACCTGATGGATGTCAGAACCTTCCATTTTCTTCTTTCTGACCTCCGAGGGCACTGATCAAACCCTCCAGCCTCTGGTAGTCTCCCTGGTTATTTAAAGCTGCAAACTAAGTTCTCTGTGAAGGTCTACCTCATCTCCTATCAGAATTTGGGTGGCTTCCCCACCTGCCTTATACATATATATCTTGCACCCGAAAATAAAGTGAAGCTCCTTCAAAGTGGGGACCAGGCCTTCTGTTTTATTTGTAAACTCAACTAGAACTTTGAAAGACTCACAGCTATGGTCACACAGCTGTAGGAGGCGAGGACACATGTTGACAGCACATGTCCCTCTGCTGTCCTGACAGCCACATTCCCACAGCACTGCTGATCTGCCTAGCCGAAGGGCATTCATTCAGCAATCCCAAAGCCCTTGCCAGAAACTTATCATTTTCTCTGGTATTTCTTTCCAGGGTTAGCCTTCTACTCCTCTTCAAGCCCCTTTGCAGTCAGGTAGTAAAAGGAAGGGCCACCCGCAAAGGGAGAGGTTTACCCTCAAGGGCAGAAGATCACCCTGGAAGGGAAGGAGTCAGTTTTAATGACAGGGACCCCGCTCATCTGAATGAAGATGCCCCAGTGTGCAGGACCCAGCACTGGAAATGAGACCTGCCAAGAAGGAGGCCAGCTGATCGGTGGCCTCCGCAGGGCTTTGATGTGGGTGTGCACACACTGACTCTGCTTCCTTACCTTCATCAGCAGTACATGCACTTATCTGGGAAGCACAGCTGAGGATTTTGAAAGGGTGGGCGATTTGAAGTTAAGATGGAAAGCTACATGGAGAAATGGTTTGGAAAGAATCCCCAGTGATGTTGATTTTCTTCTCCAGATGGGAACTGGGAAAGAAGTAGAGATGGAATACAAAGAGGCTCGAGCAAGCACACCGAAGATAAAAGAACCCTCCAGAAAGGCAAGGTGGAGCTGCCTCCCTCCGGATGATTGCAGTAATCTAGGGCAGTAGCTCCAACACATGCGCAGGAGAACTCCAGTGACCAAGTGTGCGACCCTGGAACACTCATCCTGCAGGCACATCGTCCCCTCCACCTCCACTCCAAGATGGCCAGGACATACATCAATGGGGTTCACCTCACACCTCTGAAAATCAGACAGCTACATTTCATCATAGTTAAGTTTGCCTGCGCTATAAACAAGCTCCGAGTCTCAAGGAAGGACCTATGCCTCTGTCAGCTGTACCTAGGACAGAGTGCAGGTGTGGCGCTGAGAGGCCTAGCATCCGAGACTCCCCTTTGGTGGAGTTTAAGGAAGGGTTCCCTTTAAAGAGAGAGAAAGAAAAGAGAGCTACTCTTAAATGGAAAAGAAAGGTTAATGTGTTTGTTTCTGCTGGCAAGAAGTCACTCAGACTTGGGTTCCCACTCGGAACCCTCTAGATCCATCCTTCTTTATAAAATACAATATGTATTTACCTCACAGGGTTCCCTGTAAAGCCCAAATCCGACATGGGAAAGGCACATAGAAGGTCCTAAAGAATAGGATCCGCTGTCCCCAAAGAAGCTACAAGGAAAGAAGAGGGAACCCCACAGGGGTAGGACTTCCACCCGGCTCCCATTGGAGGTTAGACCTGTCCCTACAGGGAGACCCCAGAAACGGGTTCCCGAGAAGGAACCACCCCACTCACTCCACTCACCTCAGAGGCACCAGAGTTCAGAGGGTCGCCGTAGACCAGAGGGGCCGCTTCTTAAGGGAGAAGCACATTGTCTGAGCGGCCAATGGGCGCCGGGCGCACGGGCCAGCGGCTAATGAGGATGGAGGCGGGAGCGGCTAATGTGGGCGGGAGCGGCCAGCGCTGACCTCTAGTCTCTGGCCGCAGCCCAGGCGGACCTCTCATTTGCAGCTATTCTCCAGGAGTTTTAATTAAGCTAATGTTGACTCATCCTCAGCCACAAAAGTCTGAGTAAGATCAAACAATCCGTTTAGAACTTCCCTCCAAACCAGCATCACACCTGTTATTGACACAGTGACCTCCTGCGGGCTTGGACCCAGGCTCCAAGATTAGGAACCAGTGCAGGACTTCCTCCCGCCCCCGCCCCGTGTCTGGCTTATGCCTGGGCTTCTGGGTTAACAAACTGCGCCTGCCTCATCTTTGTCCTAGTGTAGAGCCTTATTCCTTTAGACACAACAGCCACTGAACTTTTTATAAGTGCTCAGTACTCCTGTGATTAAAAAAGTTTAGGATGCACACAGATAAAGACACTGTGTTTACCGAAATATATCACTCTTCCTGCTATACGAACGTGGCACAGAATCCAAATAGCATTTATCTGTTGATAATCCATTATTAGGAGCTATACTACAGCTCCAAACTTTGTATTCTGGGGGACTGTTCTCGGGATGCTTACAGACTCCAGGGTCTGGGGGATGTTCCAGTCTTATAAGGAATGTGCTATAGCATGCGTGTATTCTGTAGGCTTTAATCATCTTTAGGTTATTTACAGTACCCAACACAATTTTACTGCTATGTAAATATAATAGTGTTGCATTGGCTAAGGACAAGGAAATAAAGTCTGCAGAAGCAATCCCTGGCCTCCACCCAACCACCTCTTTCAATGCAGGGTAAGAGGTTGATGTGTGACTCCTGGATGTGAAGGGCCAGCTGTACACCCAACACGTAGAATCATAGGGTATTCTCCTGGATGTGGAGGGCCAGCTGTACACCCAACACTTAGAATCATAGGGTATTCTCCTCTCCAGATTTTGGAAATCTGGGTTAAATGGTCAATGTATAAACTAAGCAAAGAAATATCCACCCTTTGGAGGGGAGGACTTTTTGAGACAAGGTCTCATGCTGCATCTGAGGCTGGCCTGGAACTCACGACATAGCTCAAATTGTCCTAGAGCTCTGGCCATGCTCCTGCCTCTTCCTCTCAAGTGCTGACACTACAAGCATAAGCCACCATGTATGGTTGAATATCCACTTTTTTTGAGGTGTACAATTCTGAGTCTTGACGAACAGTATGTAAGCACCACACAAACAATCAAATATAGAATATTTTCATCTCCAAAAAGTATTTGCTTGCCTCAAACTTCTCACCACCTGCACCCATTTCCCAGAGGCAATCACTGATCTGATTCTGTCCCTATTATTTTGTCTTCTCTGGAGTGAGAAAAATGGATTATACAGTCTAATCGGGCTTTTGTTCCAGGCACATATCACAATGCTTTTGAACTTCATGTTGCATATGTTTTCAGCTGCATTGCTGAATGTGTGTGTGTTGCAGAGTGCTGTGTGAGGGGTCAGGCAAGGTCTTTCTTGCTCTGTAACCCAGGCTGGCTTTGAACTTCAAGACACATGGGGAGAAACCTACCAGCTGGGGACAGTTTTGCACAAACTGGCCTGTTAGATTCAGGGCCCCTTGTTCTTTACTTGGCAGAGGTCACCCTTCCCCACAGAAGACATGTAATTACGTCACTACAGATTTCTTTATATGATTATTACTCAAATCTCCCACAGAGGAAAGAATGTTTATTATGCTGAATCCTCACTGACTAGCCCAGTGCCCGGCACAGAGGCATGCAGTTTTCTCAGTACTTGTCTGTGGGAGGTTGGGCACAGGGGTACACATCTGTAGTCACAGCAACCTGGGACACGGAGGCATCTGACTCCAGTAGTTCAAAATATCAAGGCCTCCATCTCAATGACAGGCCAGGAAGATGGGTCACTCAGAAAAGCACTTACCCTGCAAGTATGGAAACCTAGGTTCAGGTTCCAGAACTCGAGGAAAAACCCAAGTGTTTGGGCACCTGCTCATCATCCCAGCTCTGGGGAGGGAGAGTCAGGAAGATCCCTGGGGTTCCAAATCACAAAAATAAATAAATAAAAAAAATGTTCTGTTTCAGAAAAAAACACTGTGGCATGCTACGAGATGGCTGAGTGGGAAAGCTGTACTGTAATCACAGTGCTTTTGCGGCAGATGGGAGGCAGAGACCAAAGAGTCCTGAAAGCTCATAGGCCCCTACCCTGGTGTATGGACCCAACAATAAACAACACAGAGACCCCCCCTCACAACAAACAAAGGGGAGAGATACACTAACACCTCAGTTTGTCCTCTGACCTCCATATGTGCTGTGGTGTATGCATTCCTACACACACATATACACACCATACAAACCTGTATGCACACATGCATACACACTATACAAACCTATACACACAGATCATACATACCTGTACACACCCATGCCACATGCACATACCATACATACCTTACACACACACATATATACTTGTACATGCATATAAGTAAATATATAACATGAATTACAAATAAATGATAGAACTTAAGTTTTGATAAAAGCAGATATGCTGGGCATGATGGCACTGTCATCTTAGCACCGAAGGAAGAGGCAGAAGATCCCAAGTTCCAGGCCAACCTGGTCTCCACAGTGAAAGTCTGCCTCAAAAACAAATACTTTTATCACAGCGCTTTTGAAGAATGGATTCCAGATGTGGAAGGCCACTTGCCTTCCAAAGTATTACACCAGCTGATATTCCCACTGGATCCCCACTGGATTCCTATGGCCCTTCCATCCTTACCAGCATGGATGCTCTCCTCCATGCCTGCCGTGTGGCCAGCAGAGGGGACTCGCTATTCAGCAACCCTTTGCTATCGCTAGCTGGGCTGAGGTCTCACACTTGCATGTACAGCTCAAATTGTTCCCCCTTTAAGAAGTTGTCTAGAGGGGTCTCATTATGTCACCTGAGCAGGTCTTTCATACTTCGGGACCCCTGGAGCGTCAGACTCATGAGCCGTGGAGTTAGGGGCTGTGCCCCCTAGGTGACATGCACACGGGCTCCAGAGATTATGGATCTCGGTTGCCACCACCAAAACCTTCCCCCTGTCTTTAAATTCACTTAAAGCGTTTTTGTTCCTCACAACTTTTTTTTTATTGTTTCTGTAGTCAAAGCGATCTTCTGATTAGGCCACTGATTGATAGCTGCTGCTTCCAGAGTTACAGATGGGAAGCAGAAAAACACAGCAACAGATTGGGATGATGAGCAGGTGCCCGAAAACCTGAAACATGCCTGGAGGACATCACAGTTTCTCAGGAAGTGACGCTGAGAACCATCAAGACAGTGGCTCCTAGGGCAGGGGCTGTGACAGAGAGACACAGAGGAGAACTCAAGACAGAGTGTATGTTAGGTCTGTCAGGAACATGTTCCATGGATTCGCAGACCATCTATTCCAGCTCTTTGTGGGAGTATTTCTAATGTTTCTGTTAACAGCCCCCCTGTCCCCTGGGGGCTGCACGAACGGCTCATCAGGTCAGAGCACTTGCTGTCCTTGCTGTTCTTGCACCCGAGTTTAGTTTCCAGCACCTACATCAGGCAGCTCTGCCTGTAACTCCTGATCACTTTTAAAACTTAAAACTATTTTTTATCCTCTGACGACACACACTTAAAATTAAATCATTTTTTAATTTAAAAGAATCCTGTCTGCTATAAGTATCATATTAACTAGATTTTCCTTTTCACCAGTCTAAAAAGGAGGTTCTCTCTTTCTTTGCAGAAATACACACTAATTTTTATTGAATGAACTACTGCCATTCTCTGGAACGGTTGCATGGTTCTGTTTTCATTTGTAAATCACTTTGCCTTTCTGGGATAAGATTCATCTTGGTGTGGAATGAGTTCACAATGTCCCACTCCAGAGGGGCATGTGAAGAAGTTAAGACCAGTGAGAAGGGGGTGTGGGGGTGGATATGGTCAAGACGTGTGTGTGTGTGTGTGTGTGTGTGTGTGTAATTTGTTAGAGGACAAAAATTAGTTTTAAAAGTTCTCCCACCTTTTTTCTTGCCTTGAGATGGTGTGGGAGGTCCTTCTGTACATGTTTCTTTTGTTGGCCAATGAATAAAGAAAATGCCTTGGCCTGTGATAGGGCAGAGTAGAGCTTGTGGGACTAGACTGAATGCTGGGAGAAAGAAGGTGAAGTCAAGAGACACCATGGAGGGGAAAGATGTGAACTGTTAGCTGGAACCTTGCTGGTAGGTCATGAGCCTCGTGGTAAAATATAAACTAATAGAAATGAGTTAATTTAAGATATAAGAGTAAGCCAGAAATATACTTCAGTGATTGGCCAAGCAGTGATTTAATTAATACAGTGTCTGTGTGGTTATTTCGGGGCCGAGCTGCTGGGAACAAACAAGTGGCCTTCCCTCAACAGACTGGTGCACCAACATGGTAGACTATATCCACATAAAACTCAAGAAAGCTTATAAAGGAATTCTACACACACACACATGCACAGAGTTTAACACAGCTTCTTGCTCTATTTGCTGGCAGTGTGCTGCAGCTCCCTTAAGAGAGGTCTTCCTGATTCAGTGGTAGAAAAAAAAAGGGCAGTTTTGGAACAGTGGCTTCCTGGGCCAGGCTGCTAGAATGAACTCTGACTCTTTTGGGAGGTCCAGCTATGGAGCATCTAAATGTGAACAGAGTACTACAACTGGCAACGCAGACCTGTGCGACCTGACCCCGGATCTGAGGCAGAGAGAATGGCTCTCAGAGGTAATGAACAGATGTCCCCTCCGACACATTGGACTTAGCATTTTAAGAAGTGCTCCTGGACAGAAAAGGACTACAGATACACAATAGGACAGATTCAGACATTAAAAAAACTCTAAACAAGACATAGTGTGTTTAAAAAA